TGGATGTCCCCTCTCATCATCCCTGCGCATGTCCCCAGCACCGGTGTCTCCTCATCTGCCTCTGTGGGGACATCCAGGAGTAGATGTCCCCACATCCCTCCCTCAGCTACCAGGGATGGGTAGCTCACTGGGTGTCCCCTCACATTTTTTATGGGTCCCCTGCATATTTGTGACCCCAAAACAGGTTTCCTGCAGTGCCAAGTTGCCTTCTCTCAGCCCTTTCCTGGTGCAGAGCCACAATCCCTCCAAGAATCCAGCTATTTTCTCCTTCCTAGCTGCAGCATCCCTTTTGTTCCCCCAAAGTGGTTGCATTTCAGCAGCAAGTAAAGGACTAGCTGCAACCATCAGCCTTAAAATATTCCAGGATTCTTAGCCTTAAAATATTCCAGGATTTTTCAGCAGTAAAAATGCTGATAAATGCAAGTACAACCATGACCTGGTGCTTTGACTTAGCATCGTGCAGCCAAGTTGCAGCAGCTCTCATTAGGCCAGCTGGAGTTGGGAAGGAGTTGCACGACATGCAAATTTAATCCCAATCCCTTGTAATTTTATTTGTGTGACAGCAATCACCAYGTTGGATAATGAAGACATCTGCCCCTTATCTAGGAACTATGGAAAGAGGTTAATAGGAAACATTCTTTTTTTCCTTTTTTTAATGAAGCTAGGAGCTTAAGTGTGTTAATTGCATTTCTTTGGGATAATTAGGTGTTCTAATTTCTGTCTTTCTGATCCTTAGCTGCTTATTGCAAGTAAGACCGTTTTTAATTTACCACCACCCCAGAGAAGGTATTGGAGAATATTTTAGAAATTGTGTGTTCGTGTTTTTGGTAGCATTGCTGCACCTCACCTGTGTATATAGTAGGCTTGTAAGCTGTTTCTGTGAGACACTTCCCAAATTAGCTTGTGGCTTAAAACATGAGAGGTGTAGAGTGCTTGTATTTTATTGGCATGTATAGAGGAGAAATAAATCTCACCTGTCTTCTGTTGACTAAAAGGTGGAAATTATAACAGCACGTGCCACATTGCTCCAAGGACCAGCCAACAAGGACGAATGTTCTCGATCGATACACTTAAAAATACAATTCTACAAGAGTGCTGTTTTAAAATTAATTTCCACCGAGGAAGAGAAAATCAGAAATAGATTTCCATCTATCCCATTTCCATATCTATCTCCGATGGATTTCCAATGGATAACTTCCCCCCACATCCCTCCATTTGTGTGTGTTTAATACCACTCTAGCGCTACTAGAAGCTGCCTTGGGGCAGTGTGTGATTTCAGGCTTGGCATCACGCTCTGCCCTTTGAATAAGAGTTGATTTGTGTCCCACCATCCCAGGTCACAGGCAGCCTTGGTTCCATCCGCCCATTCTCTGCCATGCAGACATAGGCAACACTGTTGTTGTTGTCCGGCTGAACAGCTGAGCTATGTATGGTGGGATTTATCTTAAAAGGGCAATTATGTCGAAGGAAGCATGAGGAGGAGAATATTTTGCAGCATTCTCCTCTCCCACCAGTTCCATTGCATTATGAAAGCTTCCCTTAAAATCACTCTTTTGCCACAAAGTTCATTGCAGCAATATTAAAATAATTGCAGAAGCATTAAATTAATGTTAGTGCAGGAAGGGGTCATTCCCCACTATATATGCTGAAGTAGAGTCAAAGTAAAGCTTTGTGTCTTGGCAGTGGGTGGTTATTTAGGAACGTAATGAAAAGAGAGCCTCAGGGAAAAGTGCTGGAGGAATTTCAGAAGTGAYGCTAGTTACTGGAATTAGGTTATAGTTGTATCAGAAAATATTGATAAAAACAAATTATGAGTGTTTTGTCTTATTCCTAATGGCAGCAGTCACCAATTTACTGCTTAAAAGATGTTGAGGAGTAACTTTGGGGATTATATGCAACAGTAAGCCTGACTGAGAATGATTTATAATTTGCCTTATTGAGTATTATCACATGGAACTTTCAAGAGTCGGATACATTATGAAAAGCGTTTTTCTGTCTTTTATTCTAGGATGGAAAAGAGACCGGTCTGAAAAATTGTTCCTTCCTCAACTTTGCTGTTGTCTGCTAGAATGTTCCTTCTGAATGCGTCTCCTCTGGTAGCTCTGCAAGGAAAATGGGGATCCTTTGGAGCATCGAGGAGTTATAGATACCCGGTTTGCTTCCCTGAGGCTGAAGGGGATGTCACCAGAACTTCTGTGAGTGCAAAAGTTCAGATGATCATAAACAACCTGCAAAGTCCAGAGTCTCCCCTGGGTATGAACAATGAGTATGACTGTTTTGCTCAGAAGAAACAAAAGGGAGAAAAGGGCTCTAGTAACAGAGTTGCACCGAGCGCTGCGCTGCTACGGAAGCACTGTAGATATAACAGGCAGAGTTGCCCTGCTGATTCTGACAGCTCTGAAGTGGATGAGAATGTGGATTTTGYGCCTCTCCTTCTGGATTCTGACAGTGACGATTCTGTCGACCGAGATATAGAGGAAGCCATTCAAGAGTACTTGAAAGCGAAAAGCAAGAGTGACCATTCGCTGCAGGGAGACACGGAGTGTTCTGAAAATACACGCAGAGACAAAAGGTTTAAAAGAGAATTCTCTGAGCGCAAAATGGCTAATAATCTTCTCCCTGTGAAATTTAAAGCTGAGGTGCTCTCTGAGGACTATCTTTCTGAGCACTTGGGAATTGGTAAGAGGCGGCAGCCTGCTTCTCCTGAGAGCATCAGTAGCGATGACTCTTTTGAGCAGAGCATACAAGCTGAAATAGTGCAGTTCTTGAACGAGAAGAAGCAGCAAGAAATTAGTAAGTGTGTCACTGGGGAAGATAAAAAAGATTCCCCTGTGAGATCTGCCTTAAAATGTAATAAAGAAACAAGTAACAAAGCGAACTGTGGTGCCGTAAAGCAAGGATGTGAAGCGCTCCTCTTAAGACACCATCCCAAGCTAAGGAGAACCAGCACCCAGTCCAAGTGTTTGAAGTCCAAAGTCCAAGAAGAGCCTAGTGATTTCAGCCAAGTGAGCCAAGCCTATCTGGAAATGGCCACTGGCAGCCGACCCTGGTTAGTGGAGCAAAATGAAGAAAGTGGGGCTAATTTTGGGGGAACAAGGGGAGAACTTACCACTGAGGGCAGGCACACATCTGACTCGAGCAGCGATGATGGTATCGAAGAAGCCATTCAGCTTTACCAGATGGAGAAGGTCAGGCAAGAGGCGGGTCCCTCCACAGACTGTGCCCCTCTGCAGAGAGAACAATTTGATGCGAAGGGTGTAGCAGGCTTTTCTGCAAGCCTGACCATTAGCTCAACAAGAAGTGCCTCCCCACAAGTCCATAAAAGCCCTACAAGCAGCAAGAGAAAAGAAACTAGTTCAAAGGCAGCAGAATTAGAAAGCACGAGCCATGAATTTAATAAGCTGTTTAAGCCGCTGAAAAAAACTGGTCATTTTGCACCTGCAGAAAACAAGATTTCTGCTTGTGAGCTGACATTGCAGGCCTCTTGCAGAGCAGACACATCTACGGAGCTCATGTGTGCAGAAGCTATCCTGGATATTTCCAAAACAATCATGCCTTCCCAAATGGGAAGTGACGACAAGTCACTTAGTGCAGACTCCTTCTTTTCTCCCCAGCTTCTCTCACCATCTCACTGCGACAGTGACAGCAGCCTTGTGGACAGTGATGATAGCATAGAGCAAGAAATCCGGGCTTTTCTGGCTCTCAAAGCACAGTCGGGAAGCCCTGTAATGAAGCCACCAAGTCCATCACACGCAGCCCAGATGCCCTTGCCTTCTGATGACAGCAACCTCGTGGGTACCCTGGAGCCTCCTCTTCCCAAAACACTCAAGCTGTCACTGAGTCGTAAAAGGAGACTCAAGAGGGAAGGCAGAATGACAAAACAAGGTGTAGCAAAAACACCTGAACAGTTTGAGAAAGGATTTTTCCAGCAAGATTGTTGCCCAAAGTTTTCTGTGCTCCAAGAGGGATGTGCTCCGAGCAGCCCTAAAGAACTCTGTGACGCCAACAGGGGCATCAGCAGCAAAGAGACTGGGCAGCAGCAGCCAATGTCTTCCGAGCTGTCCGGATCTCTTGGCAAATGTGTGGCCTTGGACTCTGCAAACCCCTTTATGCAGGTTCAGAGTAGCACCAGAAAGCTTATTACAAATGCGATCCCAACTCAAGAGAGGGATGGTACAGCTGAGGAGAGCAGTTCTCTGGATAGTGACGAGGACCTCGATAGTGCTATCAAGGACCTATTACGTTCCAAAAGAAAATTAAAGAGGAAGCCTAAAGACCAGAAAGCTCAGGGCAAGAAGAGAGTCAGATTCAGCGAGACAGATACTCAACTGCTGGATGAATTTAGCAGCCTCCAGCAAAACAAGTGGAAATGCAAAAATCCTGTACTACTGAAAAGCTGCCTCGCGAAATCTGGAAAAGCTATGAAAGAGAATGCAACCAGAAATCCTTCCGACAACGTAAGTGTCAAGCTTGTGAATGAAAGACCAGAAACCATGAAGAACTTAGAGTTTAATTTGCAGCTTAAAAAAGGATGTAATTGTAAACCAGTTTCAAGCCAGAACAATGTGCAGACAGCTAAAAATAAAAAATCTACTTCCACGGCTGCATCAGCCACTGATGACAGCAGTTCACTTGACAGTGATGACAGCATCGAACAAGAAATTCAGAAATTTTTGGCAGAAAAGGCCAAAGACTCTTCGGGCAATTCAGAGATACAAAGAGATGATGCAGCTCTTGACTTCCTGGGAGTGACCAAGCAAAGTGCTAATAAAGGAAAAGCAAAGCAGCAGCCAGCTGAAAATGAGATTGACCTCTTAGTGGCTCCGAGTAAAAAGACTAAGGTGTCTCCTGAAAAGGWTGAACCGAGGAGCTCTCCGGGAACGGAAGGGAAAAGTGCAATGTTACTTGGCAGCGAGAGAAATGCTTCGTGTGCAGAGGACGTGCATCTTCATACTACTGGTCAGTCAAAAGCTAAACAAGGAGTGCTGGGGGCTAAAGGTTCTGCTGCTGGTGAGTCACCTGCAAAAGGAAACGCAGCCAGTAAAAAGGAAATCTCTAGCAGAGAGCCCRTGCTGAAAAAAGATCCACCAAAACCCAGCAAAAATGATGGGCGTAAAGTACAAAAACTCTTTAAAGCAAAGCCTAGATCTAAAAGAAAGAATACTTTTCACCTGAAGATTTCAAGTAAATTCATAGCAGGTCTGAAATACGCTCGGGACAGGCAGAAGTCCTTGCTTTTGAACAAAAGGCAGAAAGCAGAAGGGTTACTTGCACAGGCCACTGCAGTAGGAGCAGAGGGAGCTTCCACAGATACGGACACACTTAAACAGGGAAAAGAAGCCCTCTCGCCAAAAGGTGATTGTGATGGAGAGAAAAAGACAGGAATAARAGAATCTGTTTTTTCTCATAAGCTCTCAATGGAAGCATCAAGTGCCCATGTAGCAGACACCTGTAAAACACGGGAGGCTGCTCCTTCGTATATCAAAGAGGAAGCAGAGGCTTGCAAAAAGGAAAATACTTTGGGAGACCAGGCAGATTCAGGTCTGTCCTTGCAGGAACACAGTGTGGCAGCAGGGAAAGCAGAGGAGAACACGCAGAGAAGCACTGAGGAAGGAGATGCCCACAAAGACAGGCGAGGAGATTCCCATCTAGCTCCCCGGCTGCCAGAACCCAGTCTGGCAGCAGTAAAAGCAGATCGAGTTAGTGGAGAAGCCTCTCAGCAGAGTACGAACGTGTTGCAGGGCCTCAATGTGACAGCAGTGACGCTGGATAAAGCTAGGGGAGGAAAAGGTAGGCCCAGGAATWTGCACATGTGCATTGAGCAAGAAGATACTGCCCTTCCCCAGGACAGTGCCAGGCAGGAAGAAACTCGGGTATCCAGCTCCAGTTCAGAAGGAGAAATAAGTGTCCTGCAGGGCAGGGAAACCAACTGTCGAGTGGCCCAAGGGCAGGAAGTTGTAGACAGAAATTGTGCAAAAGTTACTGACATCCCTGCAGATTCCCTCTTGACAAGARAGGTATCGAATACGTAAGTACACACCTTTTTTTACGGTAACAGTCTTTTTTAGAAAATAACCACCACTGTAATTACCCTGACAGGCTTAAGACAAAAGGAGAGAAAGGGGGAGATACTGATGAATATATACACACTAATGTGAAAAATGCTTCTATTTAACAGCATACGTAGGGTTTTTTTTGTAGGATTTTGTAAATTATTTAAAGTGCTCTCTAAGGAAATATTTTTTATAATGATTTTTAGGTCTTGCATTACTACAGAAGGCCGTAGTTAGGTAGATAAAAAGCTACCACAGCTAATTGTGCTTTAAATTATGAGGCCTCTCTTCATATACTAGAAGGAAAGCTGGTTTTGTGCCTACTATTTGTGGCAATCTGCTACGAGAACCTAGAAAAATGCAGCATTTGATAGCAATGCTGTGCTTTTGGGGCAAAGTATCTGACATTTGTTGGCACTGGAGCCGCCTTAGGACAATTTCATGTAGCCGATTTATTCTTGGGTCTCCCTTCTCCGAGTCTGAGAGGTGCCGAGCGAGTTCACCAAGCAAAACCCCCGTGAAGGTGCAGAGATCCATCCCTGTGGAGCCACGTGCAAGTAAGTAAAGGGGGTCCCTCTGCCGTAGCCTCGACGTCCCGCTGTAAAGCGATCTCAGCRGCTGCTGAAAACACCCATTGAGCACCAAAACCCTGTTTGCAGATGATTCGAAGCCCAGCTGCAGCTCAAGTCAAGAGGATGAGCRCATAGGAGGAGCGTGTCCATTCAACCAGCCATATTTCCGTGGATTTCGCTGGATTTGCATGCTTTCRGGGCTTGCAAGGCGGAAACAATTTCTTATTCTCAGATCTACTGTGGATGCCCTGCAGCTGCCCGACAGTGACTTTTGTTTTTCTGAATGAACTTCTTTGCATTGAGTGCCCCCCTTCTCCTTTTTCAAAAGTGGTTTCTAAAATTTTACATTTCTGTGAACTTTTACCTTCATTTACTACTTTGGTGCAATAGAGCAAAGCTAGGTTTGCTATAGGAGGTCCCTAAAGTAAATGCCAAGGATATTCTCAGCTCTGTTCATTTTCAGTGATAGAGCTTTCTCTGCCTCTGTTTCTAGTAGCTAGAAAAAAAAACAGTTTTTCACTACTACTTTCTAATCTGTGTTAATTTTAAATGACACTGCAGTCATGCATTCATCTCGGTGTAAGTGCCCCCACACAGATTTCACTGAACAACCTAAGAGGTGTGAATTTATGGTGTGGACTGGTTCATTTTCATTTATGTGTCGTGAAGTCCTTGGGTTAGTTGGCTCTTAACTCTTGTCCCTGTGGATTGATTTACTATATGCCCTATCTGCTCCTTTTCGCACAACTTACCTGCCCCAAACCACCACGCCGTGTCACTTGGTTTCTGAATCTCTYGGGCTGTTTTCTTAGAAGTTGCCCTTAATTTTGCAAACCAGAGCAGACAAATCTGGATGCGGTAGCGCGTCGAACGCCCCGGGGTGCTGCATTTGCAGAACGTTGGCAAACTGCAGCATAGAGTAGAGCAAGTAACTGTGGCATGTGGAGAAACCAATAACAGCCCTCGTGTGTTTATACCCTTGTGCAGGTCCGTTTTGAACCTTTTAGTAGTGGTCATTTGTTATAACTTGCTGTCTGGCCACATTTTTGTAGTCCTTRCGTTGGTTGATTCGTTGGGGAGATCAGTATGTTAGTTCCTTTTGTTTTAGTGATAGAATACCTGGAAAAAGTGGTTTTTCACTTAGCCCACAGGCCTGCACTCAGTCTACATGGGCATATATTTTAGTCTGCCCTGATTCAGTTGCAGGATTTGGGCCTTTTTGGCATTGGTAAATAGACTCGTATTTTAAAATAGAACTTTTCAGAGTACCTTGCTTTAAAAGGATTAAACTATAATTGATTTTAATAGAGATGGCGGAAGCAGTATGTACTGTTTGTATAAAATAAGCTGAATGTTTTGCTGAATGTTTTATCCTCAAAATTTTCAGTAAACGAAGATGAAGAGTTAAAAGGTGTTTTGTGCCCTGTCAATGTGTCTGTGTTCTCAGTACTACTCTTGAACTGATTTGGTTAAGATGCAATTCTGATTACCTTGTGCTTTAAATAAAATCTAACTTCAAGCAGCACTTTTTTTAATTGATAAACTTGATTTGTATATAGGAAATGGTGTACATTGCTAAGTTTATAATGTTTAATAAATTGGGTTCTGACTATGAACTGTGAAACCACCGAGTGCTCCTGTGCTTTGTGTCATCACCCCTAGTGCTCAGTCCTTTCTATTACCTAATTTTTTCCTCCATAGATATAGTCCAAAGTTATAGTCCATTGTTTGACCACAGAATGTGACTTCAAGGCATAAAGAAAATCCACATCTTAAAAGATCCGTCTTTAGACAAATGTTTTTAATAACCAGAAGTGGAGGAGGAGACTCTGCAAAGCCCATAAGTGAATGAGCCGAGGGGTGTTTGGAGAGGTGAGAATGGTGCTTGTACCTCCAGTAAAACCAGGGGGAGTTTTCCCTGAGTTTGTGGGCAAGAAATGGGGTCCCTGCTCGTGCTCACCCCTCACTGTAACAGCACCAGAGGGGCCCTTCCCAGGACTTGGGGTTTCCTCCCATTGCAGCAGGATTTGGCAGGTGCCGATTCGGGTTCGGCTGGAAAGCGCTCACCCTGGCCAATCTGCTCAAGTAAGTGAAGAAGTAGTGGTTTGGGGTTTTGTTGTTTTTTTTTTATTATTTTAAATGATTGCTGTTCCATATTTTTAAAATATAACACTTTTTTTTTGCAGTCTGGGCACAAATTTTGCTAAGTTGAGTGCTAAGTTACTAAACTACTTGGCGTATTTTATTACAGTTACTGGTAAGTTGGAGCATCCTGTCTGCAGTGTCAGAGCTYCAGAGCTCTCAGCTTAAAAGGTACATGGATGTTCTTAGGTAAACCATGTAGACTTAGAAAATATACAATAAAGACCACAAAGGTTATATTTTTAAGAGGCAGCATCACCCCTAAATTAATCCCATCACCACCAACAAAAAAGTGCGTAAGACAAAAGACGTATAAAATTGTTAGAATTTTTTTCTATAAAATTGTTTGCATTTATCCTGTGCTTTTTGTTGCTTTTCATTTCAGGGGAAGAAGGGGATGTTGTGAGAAACTCGAGGTATTTCCTGGAGTCTAGTGGAAGAAAAGCAGTGAATGATGGAGGATTCCTCATTTTCTGAGTTTTTATTTAAAAAATTTAAACATTTAAAAAATTAACTGTTCGGGTCAATGCTTATGCTTAGTTTATTTACTTGTTCAAATGTATTGATGTGTTCTCAACAAAGGTGAGTTTAACCAGGTGAATTTGAGTGGATGTTTTATGGGCATAATTTAAATCTTGCTGATGGTTTGGGCACATGTAGCTATACCAGGTTTTGAATGTTTCGTTAAAGCACAGCTACAGGCTTGACAAACAGCTCAGGATTTTTGGATTTTTACTTAGTGGTTTTATTAACAGAATACCTTCACCTTGCCAGTCTGTTTATAAGTACTTGAACGCACTATTATACAGGCGTGTTTGGTTTTTTAGCTAACAACTGGAATAACAGTATTATGCTTATTTTTGATATACATTATTACTGTGTTACACCTGTAAAGTGGGACTGTTTCTCACCTATAAACAGGCAGAGTTTTTCAAGACTAGTTTTTAGGGAAAATGTGATATGGTGTTTAAGTGAGGTTATTGTATAAATGATACCGTTTCATCAGGTTTGTAATTAACAGTTGTTGCAATAAAACTTGAGAAAATATTTTGCCTTTGAATTAGTTGCCTTTATTTGAGTAATTTTCAACACGCTGTAGTTTTGCAAGATATATTTAAAATGCTGCCCTTTCCCAAGCTAACTTTGTGGCCTTCACTAATAAGGAGTCCTGGGGGTGTTTGTTTGTTTATTTGCTTGTTTATTTGCTTTAAGGGGGGTTGTTTTCAGTTATTTTTAATGAGTATAACACTATCTTGAATGGGTTAATTTTGTGGCTTTCATTGTTATAGGAAATGTCACATTACCAAGCCAGATGAAAAAAAAGATCTTTTTTTCCTCTAATCAGGAGAAAAATTCAGATTAAATCCTGATTTACACTSCTAATGTTGTGAATGATGTTGGTTAATCTGTTGCTGGTTACTGTACTACATGAATCCATGTCCTGACAGTCCCTCTGCTCAGTGAGAGCAGCCAAAATTTTCAGTATTGCTCAAGTGCTGCAGGTTTCCTGCAACAGACGCAATGTTAGCACTGCAGAAGCTGTTGTTGCAGCTAAAATTGGTGTTTTCCCAGCTTATCTTTACTAGAGAATCAACAAAACATCCCCATATAATAGTTGCTCGTGGAACATTCATGGAGCAGAGAGGCACAGGCAAGTGCTGCCTGYGAGCTGAGCACTTTTGCTTTAACAGTCACAATATTCCTCTATACTCAAGGGCATACTTTTAAGGGAAAAAAAATCCATTTTCCAGCATTTTTATTAAGACAAGAGCTCGGGAACAATATTTGAAGCTCAGGGCTTAGGCCTCTCCTAGCTCTAGCAGACCTTGCTGAGCCAGTCCAAGCRCTTCAGACAAGGCTCAGCAGCACGTTCAGGGTAAGGTGAGTGCAGGCGCTCGCTTTTGGGGCTGTTTGCTTGGTTTTTACGCTTACTCACTTGCTCTTTTCCATCTCTTTTCCCCAGGGAAGCAGCGGCGCCGGGACGTGCTGCCCTAGCAGAAGGAGGGCCCGCTCGCCTTGTAGCTGGGCTGGAAGTCGAGGCGGTCGGCGGCCGTGATGAAGTTGCCGGGCCCCGTGACGCGGCTCCTGTCCAGGCGGGTGTTGAGCCCGTTGTCTCGGTACATGCCGCACGGCGCCAGCGCCGCCGTGAACGCGTGCGAGGTGACCCGGTAGCAGCTCTGCGGGGAGCAGCGGGAGGTTTTAAATCCACCCAAAAAACATCTGCAGTGCACAGATAAAACAGCCAGGGCCCTTCCCCTTAAGGCACTTGAGGCAGTATGTTGTCACAGGATGGTGCAAGAGGCCAAAAACGGATTGAATCATAGAGTCATTATGGAGGGAAAAGCCCAGATTATCATCAGGTGTAAAATCAGGGTTGGCTTGGAGCCCATGCTCTGAAAAATTAATTTAATCTGTTCATGAACCTTGTGCATTGACCGCTGCCCTGGAGCAGAAGCAAAACCCTCAAACCTACCAAGAGYCCAAAACCATGCTCCCCGTTAAACATAAGCCCATTCCAGGATAAGACCTAGGTGATGGATACTGTCCTGCTAACCAATTTTTCTTGTCCGTCTTATCCCCTCAGGTAAAACCTGCTTGGAGCCACCAGAGCCTCTGCTAAGCCCACACTTGGCTCATACCAAAGGCAAGAAAACACTTTGCCTGCACATATGTGTAAAATCTGCAGTTGCTACAACAAATTGYTCCAGGACAGTGGTATTAAGTTTATAGAGGTTTAAGAAATAGATTTAAGCGAAATCRTGCAGCCAAGAGGCATCAGCAACTCAAGTTTTAGAAGACCGAAAGGCTTTGAAAGGCGCCCACGTACCGGCATCTCGTGCACGGTGGGCGCCCTGCTGCCGTAGCTCTGGTTGCTGGTCCGGTACAGGGGGTGAGGCTCCGTTTCCCTACGGGACAGGCCATACAGATGTGGGACAGACCCCTTTCCGTGGGAATGGGATGCGCGGAGCGGAGCGGGGCGCTCACCGGTAGCCGCGGACGCGCGCGGGCTGGTCGACGCGGGAGGGCAGCCGGTCGCTCACGCGGTACCAGTCGCTGGTGCGGGGGTCCCGCGGGGGCTGCGGCCCCTCGGGGCTGCCCCCCGGGCCGCGGGACCCGCTGGGGGCGGCCGCGCACGGCGGCGGGGGCAGGCGGGATTCCGGGATGGGGATGGGTTGGGGATGGGCGGCGGGATCCAGGTTGGGATGGGGGCTGAGTGCGGGGCTTGGGGTGGACGGGTCTGTCTGGGGACGGGGTTGGGGATCGGTTAAGGGATGGGGTTGGGGTGCAGGGTCAGGGCTGGGGTTTGGGTGCAGGATCAGGCTCCGGTTCGGCACKGGGCTCAGGGCTGGGGGCTGGAGCTGGACCCACGTTTGGTGGCTAGGACCGAGCCCAGTTTGGAACTGGGGTTCGGGACTGGGGTCTGGATCTGGACCCGCGTTGGGGTTCGAGCCTGGTTCGGGACTGGGGTTCAGCAGGGACGTCCAGTCGCTCTGGGGTCCGGTTCAGCTCGGGGTCCGGTCCGGCTCGGGGTCCGTCCCGGGCCCGCTCCGGTTCGGCTCCGGCCGCGGCGCGTCCCGTTGCCCGGCAACGGGGCGGCTCTTAAAGGGCCCGCGGCGCTGCGGGCGGGGCCCGACGGGGCGGGCGGAAGCGGGGCGGGCACCCCCCAGGAAGCGGAAGCGCCGCGTGACCTTCCTGCCGCGGCTCGTCGTCCTCCTGCTCGGCCAGCCCCGGCGGCGGGATCATGGCGGCGCCGCGGCTGCTGCGGGCGGGTGAGCGGGACCGGGCGGGGCGGGACCGGAACCGGAACCGGGACCGGGCCCGGCCCGTGTGACCCGCGCGCTCTGTCCCCCGCAGCTGCCCCGCGGCTCTACGGCACCCTGGTGGCCCCGGCGCCCGCCCGCCAGCCCCGCGGTAAGTGTGGCCGGGCGCGGGGAGGGACGTCGGGACAGCGGTCCCGGGTCGGGCCCGTTAACTGCCTGGCTGTGTCCCTGCACCCCACGGCATTGCCTGTCTGCACCGCTGCACCCCACAGCATTGCCTTATTGCACCCCAGCACCCCACAGCATTGCCCGCCCACAGCCCTGCACCCCACAGCATTGCCCGTCTGCACCCCAGCACCCCACAGCATTGCCCATCCACAGCCCTGCACCCCACAGCATTGCCCATCCACAGCCCTGCACCCCACGGCATTGCCTCTCTGCACCCCTGCACCCCACAGCATTGCCTTATTGCACCCCAGCACCCCACAGCATTGCCCGCCCACAGCCCTGCACCCCGTGGCATTGCCCATTTGACTCCCCTGCACCCCACAGCATTGTCCAGCTGCCACCCCGCACCCCCCAGCACCCATGCCA